TTGCCCTAAAGAATCAGCTGTTAAGTAAGCCCCGCCTCCCTTTTTTTTTTTTGCTGCTCTCTGATTGGCTAATTAATAAAGGTAATAATAAACAGACCATAAAGAGAGACATTAACGCACACACAGAGGAGGGGGAGTGGCTGCGGCCGTAACAGTGGCCCAAATCTTCTCTGTGAAAAGATCAGATTCTGTGTGACTTATCTAAAAAAATCAGATCTGAGTCACAAAGGATCAGATTCAGGTCGCTTATAGCTGCAGCGTATGAGTGAAACATCAGGAGTTAATGTGATTTAATCTGAGAGCTGATATTGTTCTCGTCTCTCTTCAACAGAGGTCGTGTTTGTGTTCCCTGATGACGCCGAGCGGAAGCCGATCGAGAAGAAACTTCCAGGTAAAAAACGACAGAGACGAAAAATCACAGCGTCTTCTATATTTAAAGAAGCTGTGCTGTGATTCACTGGATGAAAAATCAGACAAACACTTCCCTCAGTGTGTGCTGGATCCGAAATCACTAATAGGTAAAGAAAAGCAAAACAAGATCCACCGGAAGAAACCCCCGTTTGAAGGAGCCAACATGCTCAGACCAGCCTCAGTCTCAGACATTTTGTTTTAACTCTTGTGACCAAAATCTGAAATATTCATTCATAAAAAAATATTAATTTCCATGGAACTCACTCAAATCACCTCTTTGAAAACCGGATCACCGTCACTGCTCCAGTATTTAATTAAACTACCCGGTGCCTCGTTTGTTTCTGTTTTTTAAATGATGCTATCGTGTTTGAATGTATTTTATATATTTGCACAAGCAAGTCAAACACAAACGTCTGCCTTTGTGTGCTAAGAGTTTCCTGATGTCTCTTTGTGTTCCGTCGTGCAGCCTCCATGGTGATCCAGAAGGTGAAGGGGCTCCTGTACAGGCTGCTGAAGGTTCCCGCGGTAGATCTGAAGCTCACCTACACCAGCCCAAAGGTAACAGAGTGTCGAAGGTCTCTCCACTGCAGATAAATGAACTGATGAGTGTCTAAACAGGGAATAATAATGACTATGTATGCTACCAATTAGCATGCTAATAGGCGACTTGTTAATGATGAATATTGTGACCTTCAAGGCAGGGTTGGTGATTTTCTCCAGATACTGTTTTTAAGATTTTGTTTGAAATTGTCTTAAAGGCTTTCTATGTGATTTTTTGATCCAGCAGATGTCGCCCTTGAGCACCAGCATGAAACCAAAACAACTCGCGCTGCATTGTTGTGTTAGCATGCTAATGCTAGCGATCTTTATTATGCTGGTATCTTCACACTGCATGTAAATTTACCTGAAATGAGCGTGATCTAGAAACACAGTTAAGCAGTGAGTACAGTATGTTATTCTTCTTTTCTCTAGTCCCTCAATTAAACAACTTTTATACTCGAGGGGAGGAGTCAGCCGGCCGTCCCGACGATGTAAACAAACTGAAGATAGGACTCTGAAAACATCACAGACAGTGGGACTCGGGTGTTACACCCATTGTAGACAGTCATGACTCACAGAGTTATTTTCAGAGGAGATACTTGATTTATATTTAAGTGTGAAAAATCACATATAAAGCCTTTAAAGTCCTGACAGAAATGAATAGGGAGCACAGAGGGGATGGGGTGCAGACGGCGCACAGAGGGGAATGCTACTTTCAAAATCAGGCTAGTTTTCAGAAAATTACCAACCCTGCTTTTAAGTTCATAATGAAGGGAATAATTGTACTGAAGTGAAGCTCCTTTTTTTGTAGAAGGAGGGGACAGAGTTTGAGATCGGCAACGACCTGAAGTCGCTGCAGTTTTACTCCATCGAGGCCGGAGACAAGGTGTTGGTCCGCTGGTCCTGATCCGAGTTCTAGGAGTTGAAGAACCGGCCCGGTCCACATTTCAGACGGATCGGAGGCTTCAGAGTCAGACTTAATCCAGCTGCAGACTGTGAATGCTTTATGTGTGTACACGTGTTGGAGATGACATCGGGACTCGTACTGAGACGTGGATTTACTTTAAAAAGACTCAGGCTTTAAATGATTACAATCTGCTTGATTCTCCTTCTGGACAGCTTTAACATTTCACACCTTATCTGTGCACGTCTTCTTTGTGTATTAGCTCGAGAGATGAACTCAGTGGGGGAGTTCTGTGCTCTGATCAATCAAATAAAATCTCATTTAACAAATGATCTGTATTTGACCCGGCCTGATTCACTGTTGGATAAACGTAAAGAAAACATCTGAAACAAAACTATACAATTGATTTCATGTTAAATGTCTTATAATCATCTTGAGTTTTTCTGCAGATTTCATATTTGACTGGAGTTAAAAGCTGTACTACTTTATAGTGTGTGAACAGTTTAACCACTAGAGGGCAGCAGAAGCAACGTTTTGACTGTTTTATCACTTGGGAGCCTCAAACAGACTGTGGCTCTTGAAATGATCAAAATACTTCATTATTGTTATTTGTATTAAAATAAATAAAGTCTTATCTGAATGACATTCATAAAGAATAAAATAATCTGGCACCAAGTCCTCAGAAGGTGGAACAAAAAAGAATTTACTCTAAATCAGAAGTACACGTAACTATATGTGTGAGTGTGTGTGTCACTTTGTACTTGTTAATATATCTTTGTGAGGACCAGTGTTAGTTTTAGCCCTTTATAGTGGGGACATTTTTGGCTCCTCACTTCTATGGTCTGTTTAGATGTCAGACATGGCCTTAAAGTCCAGGTTAGCATTAGGTAAAGGATTGAAATGAAAGGTTTAGGGCCCCTCAGAGTGGGCGGCCCAGGTTTGAAACCGACCTGTGGCGTCTTTCCCGCATGTCATTCCCCACTCTCGCTCTCTCTCCCTGATTTCTGACTCTATCTACTGGATTGAAATAGGTTATGGTCAAAGTTAAGGTAAGGGGACAATGAATGCACTCATTTATTTATAGTCCTCTCGTGTCAGAACAAGAAAGTGTGTGTTTTTTACATACATTTCCCCCCCATAAGACTTTCTCATTTAATCCCCAAAATAGAAGGTTTCTATTTTCTCATGTGAAAGCAATGCACTTCTGTACTTGAGGAAGGAAAGTGTTATTTTGCCTTAACACACCAAAACAGATTTTATATATTTAAAAAAAAAAGTTTTATTGAGGCTGTACAGTTTGTTTATGTTCCTTCTTTAGCTGATGGTCAGTACAGACATACAGTACTTCATGTTCACAGACCTTACATGATGAGACCAGTCTGCAGAGATGCAATAAGAACAGCTTTTCTTTTTATAACTTAGAGCCACTACATTAGCTAGGGACAAGGCTCTCTCTCAGTTATGTATTATGGCACTATACAATAAAAAGTTATTGATCAACCTCTTTTCACAGTCAGTGATGTGTTGCTGTTGTGCAGCCCTGTTGGACTGATCAGTGTCCTCCCTGATGAGGTTTTGTCACCAAAAAAAACCTGAGCTGAGTCTGCCAATGTTATGCCGACCTACCTGTTCTTCACTCTACCTACAAACCTCTTAGCGCAGTCATGCATCTGTCATGTAAACACTTTTAATACCTATGAGACATTTAAGTAAGAATTTCAAAATACATGTTTTATACTCTCTGGCACCACCTGTGGCGATGAGCGGTAATTGCAGGCATTTTTCCGGTAACGTGATACTGCGATACTTTTCAATACCTCATGTTTTAGGATGATTCTGTTATTTCAGTTATCATTAGAAGAGTAGAAAAAACAACTGTGTAGGAGAGGAATGGATCCACACAAACTTGCAAAATGTGTGTTCTTATCGTATGTGTGCAATTTAGGCACTTTGAAAGCATTTGCTCGCAATGTTTGGTAATTACAACAAGAAGTTAACCAATTTTGGGTGCCTAGGACTTAATCTTTTCTTGCCGTGGTATCCAAACGGGTGTTAATATTGTTTGATTTTTCTTAGAAGAGTATCGAGGTCTAAACTTCTGCTAACCTGACGACCCTATTTTCAGATTTTCTCTCCAACAGTCGTTTTGCTGACTTGACTGTTTTGAACTGAACATCTCATTTGTTTGTCTTGACTGACTTTGATATTTGTAGCATTAGCTCCTCCCTCAATGCAAATTAATTTACAATTCTTCTAATATTCATTTGTTTTTATGAAAAGAAGATGGAGTGTCTGTTTTCAAAAAAATACATTTTTTTGTTTAAATTGATCCATTTTGACATTTGCAGCTCCAGACTTTTATATCTGAGGATTGGAAAGTTGTTTCCGCCTGTTTTCCGTTCTTTATATTGGAGGAGTCTTCATTGTAAAAAGAATGTTTACATGAAAGTAAAAACTGGTGCTTCAAGCCATCAAACGTAAACCTTGACCAGCACACACCTTCACAATACCCATCATCAGGTAGTTCACAGGCTAACATTAGCACAATTAAGATATCAGAGAATCATCTGCATAGAAGGTAATTATTTACAAGTTTATATAAAAAATACACAGTCAACGCTAGAACAAATGAATAAATCTTATCTTTAGCCCTTATTTATCTCTTAAACACGACCAGGATCAGTCACTGGTTCGTAGTGGTTCTGTTAGTGGTCAAACTGCCAAAATACTCGGAAGCAAGCACGCCAAATCAAACTGTATCGTAACGGATTGCAAGAACAATAAATTCAGATTAAAAAACTTCATTTATAAGATATCCTTAAAAGTTAAATATAGTCTGATTATACATTTATTTCAGCCCTTATGTAGCTTCAGTAATCTTTGGTTTGGCTGTTAATCACCTCATCACAAATCAAACAGTAAGTGGTTTTCACATTTTGACTTTAAAACCAGATAAACAAAAGATACGTCCCTGTATTTCTTTGTAAACCAAGTTATTCTTGTTAACGTGTTAAAAAAAATTTTTTTTTAAAAGAAGTAACAGTTTCATTATACAAACCACTCCATACAGACCTTACAAACTTTTGAAGTCTGTACTTTGTACGTAATATAAATTCTACTCTACCAAGAAGTTAACTCTTCTTGTCGGACTAAGCGTTGATATTTTCACTGTCCTGGTGTCTTTTTCAAATAAACTTTGTTTTCAGGCTAGTATGTCAACAGTTTAAAAAGAGATCAGCAAACGTTTTCATAAAAAATTATGAAAACAAAAGTGTTACCAAAAAAAACTTTGGCTCACGATTATTTGTGAATGTGTTCTAAAATTCAGTCAATACGTTTATATTACTCACAGATTTAAAAAAGTTTCAAATGTTTTTGTAAATTCTTCCTAAAGATTTTCGTACGTGGTGCAAAATATATCTCGACTAACTCAAAAATTATGCATTTTTTGGAACGTTTTCCAAATGATTTGGCTTCTATAACTCTTAAACACATTGAGCAGTTGTTGAGTTAAAGGCAGGGTTGGTAATTTTCTAAAACTAGCATGATTTTGAAACTAGCATTCTCTCAGTGCTCCGTCTGCACCCACCCCCTCCCCGCTGTGCTCCCTCAAAAGCCACATGCACGAGCACCGTTGCTCCAGAAGCGGACCTCAGCTCATGCTTTGACTGTGGGCTAGTGACAGCAAGAGGTAGAGAACGAGAAGGGAGACAGGGAGGCGCCTGATTGGTTCATCAGATTGGTACCTCATGACAGACATTGGTGGAAGTTTTTACAGGCCACAACTGCTACAGAAGACAGATTTTATTTTTTCCCTTTTTCAGAACATGAGTTATTAATTTCTGTCAGGACCTAAAGACAGTTTCAACCAAAATCTTAGAAGGATTATTTGGAGGACATTACCAACCCTGCCTTTAAATTTGCAACAAGAAAGCGTTTGAGTTGATATGATTGTATTTGATCTACAGGCAGATAACAAGAAAAAAAAAGTTTTTTATGAGTCTGATGGTCTAAATGGATGTCTCAGAAAGTCGTTGTCCCTTATTTCTAAACCTGGGCCCAAGTTTAAAATGACCTGAGTTATCATTATAGGCATGAAAAGGGTTTTTAAGACCCTCCTTTAACCTTTGCCACAGGCATTTGATAACAGTTGTTGATTGTAGTTGACGATTGTTAAAATTCTGATTGTTTTTCGCAAATTATGTTTCAGACCAAACTGAGAAAAAGTAACAAGTTTCACTTAAAAAAAAAACATTGAAACAAAATATGAAGTTCAATATTTGGTAACTTTTCAGAAATCATTATTAGCTGTCAAGATATCCCTGTATGAGTGTCATTATTATTATTATAAACTATATAAATTTAACATTAACAGGATGAGCGTAGCTCATCTCCCTTGTTGAACCAGAATTTGATCCCATTAATGCAGTGAGTTCTGAAAAGCTTTTCAGGTGCCAAAAACTCGTAAAACTCTAAACTCGTAGTTCAAGTAAGAAAATTAGAAAACACATGAATTCCGTTGAGTGTGTTTTGTTCTTGTCCTCTCTCAGCAGTTGGAGCGTTCTCGTTGTCCTCAGTCCTCACAGATTTCTCTCTTCACAGCTGCCAGCAGAGCCGTCTGGGCAGCGGCAGGTAAAGCCACCGAGCCGCGGCAGACACAGGTGAGAACAACCGCCATTGTTGGAGCAGTAGTTATAAGCTGACAGGAGAGAAGAGAACAGGATATTATCACGAGAACATATTGGCGTTACATTGTACAACCAACTGTGTGGACTGAGTCCATTCACATTGTTAAAACAAAACTTACAAATATTCGCTCTTAAAGATACCTCAGCGCTAGGAACCCAAAATAAACCGATTAACTGTGACTTGATGTCAACAACTATGTGGAGAGGAGGCATGATGCTACATCATAATTTAGATTTGTAAAAGAAAATGGAATGGTGATGGTCTTGAATCTGGAGTCCGCCGAGTCTGAGACCGAGACAAGACCGAGTAAGAATGCTTTCAATTACAAGATGAGACCTTCAAAAAGTGTTCTCGAGGCCAAGACCGATTCCAAGTACTACAACACTACCTTTTTAAGCAAGTAACTCTACTTTCACTTTAAGTACCTTACTGTACTTTAAATCTGATTAATCTTTACATATTATTTAGTAGTCTGATATAATGTGGCTCAGACTGTGGAGCTTTTTCACTTCATGAAAACTCATCAGAGCTCAAAGACATTGGACCCAGAGTCTGGGCTGGAGAAGAGTTAAACAGCAGCTTTTAAACTTCTGCAGACTCTGGGGATAAAAGGTTTTAGTTTCAGATACAATCAGAGACTGAAAACGCCCCTCCCCCACATCATCTGCTGTAATGTGTTCATTATCAGATCAGGCTGCTGCTTCTAAAATGTTTAGAAACACAAACTCAAAGATGGTTTTTAAACATGTTGCCAAGTCAAACAGAAACATTGAGTTCCAGGCTGCAGATTCAGGGACAGGACGGCCCGTCCATCATCAGGAACCAGCAGGTGGACTCAGACCGTCTGCTGTAAAGTTCGGGGCTCCGAGCCAGATGTGAGCCTCGTTATCCACAGCTGGCTCCCCTGAGGTCACTCTTCCTGCAGTTCCCACGCTTATATCCATCCAACATGGTAT